AAGGACAAAGCGTTCTCTTTCACACAGAAGAAAATGCACCTTAAAAGCCTTGGAAGAATACAGCTGACAAACACTGTTGTGAGGAAAAGACTCTCCCACATCTTGGAATAAACGCAGCACTGCTCAGAGAGCTAGCAACAGCCTCCCTTCCTACCTTCAGGGTAGACACACACATTTTTCCCAGGCAAAAGTCTTAATATGGCATTAGGGTCTTGGAATTTTCTTTACTTCGAGTAAATTAAGCAAGCAAGAAAGGAAGCATCTGAAACGTATGACAGAGCAGTTTACTGGGGAACGTCAGTCTTGGCTTTGGTCGTATTTGGAAATAAATGCTTAAAGACGTGAATGTATCTTTATGTGGCAACAGAGAAATAACGTAAAGTTTCAAATCCTTACCCCACCCTTACCCCTGGTGGAGAGTCACGCTATGGATACCAGCAGGCTAGTGGCTATGTTATGAAGGAAGCCATGTCTCTATCCCCAATTGACTGAGTTTTTTCAAACGGAAATAAAACAAATAGATCAGTCTAGATACATAACCCCCAGCCATGTGTGTGTGCAGCGTGACAAAACTTGCAGAAGCTCTTCACAGAGACAGAAGGATGGAGATGGATATCTGGGGCACACCCTCCGAGCTGGTACCTGCCACACAAACTGCTTCTGAGTGCTTTGCGAGTCAGCAAAACCACCTCCTCGGAACCTCATCAACTTTACCAGAAAGGTACTTGCACAAGGTTTCCACACTTGCAAGGAGCACCGAGTCTGAATCGACTGCAGTTCGAAGGAAACTTCCCTGCCTCAGAGTGTATTGAGGGGCTCTGGCTCACAGCTTCACCCCATCCCAACTTCACCTCTCTGAAAAGAGAGACGAGAGAGACAGGAGCCACATCCTGAAGCAGGGGCTTCTTGCGTTTCTTTTCCTTTTCATTTGAGCATCTCTGAAACGGGAACAACTTCTCTGCCCTCCACTGCCTCTCAGCATCATCACTGGCACTTCTACTCCCTTTCAGGAAGTGGTTAAGGGAGTGAGGGCTTATCTTAAACAGGGATCATCATTTCTGCTCATCTGATTGTTTCTCCTCTAGGATCTAAAGCCCTGAAAGCATCCAACTTCATCCCTTTTCTTCCCCACTGAAAATCAGTGACCAAAGGTGTTTGTAAAAAATCTTCCCCCATTCCACTACACAATGCCTAATGCTTTAGCTGAAACTTTGGAGGAAAATTAAATTTAACTTTTCTTTCTTTCTTCTGTTTCCTCTTCCCTACCACTCATAATTCAGTTTCCATTTAAAAGACAACTTCATTCCCTTTTCTGAAACAAGCAGTTTCCGGGTTTGATTTTTATGAAAATGTGCCTGTGTCTGTGTGATTTTTTTCAGAGCCTGATGCTGGGAGGTGGTGGGCTGGGGTGGTAGGCCCATCTTCCTAGGCTCTGCAGGAGGCAGGAGGGTAGCGGAGCATCCCCAGGAGCTCATCCCCAAACCGGGGGCTAAAGCAACAAACTTTGCAAGTTACCACCGGCCGGGTCAGTGGCAGGCAGCAGCCAGGCAACTCCTGCTCCCAAGTGCTCATTTCTGCCTCGAAGGCTGTGTGGAGATAGTGGGGTATAATCAGGGGACTGAAAAGGGGGGCTGGGTTTTCCCCCTCCTCTCCAGCTTCAGTGAAAGTATTACAAAGTGAGTCAGGAGACTGAAGATCATCTGACTGAACTTTCTTGAAACCGACACACATTCTTGTCTTCGGGCAACTTGCTTTTTGCCTCCTTCTCCCTCACCCCTCTCCCCCTTCCCTCCTGCACATCTTATTTTCTGGGAAGAGATTTCATCCTTTCCATGTGGGGGAAAGGAGACTGTCCACTATGGATTAACTTGGCGTTGGCACTGTCTTTGCTAGGCATCTTGCTAGCTTGAGAATCTTGAAGCCTGGATTTTAGACTCTTGTTTCTCTCTTTGTACATTTGCTTTCCTCGAACTGCCTCCTTCTCCTTTGCTTTTTAATAATCGCATACAGCACCATCTTTTAACCCACGTTCTTGACCAGCCTTTCAAACACACACATACTGCTTTACACGTTTTATCTCTTTGTAGCCTTAGTCTATACACACACTGTTGACTTCATTAAAATTATATAAAGTGCCATTCTAGTTTCCTGGATGACCATCTCTCTCTCTCTTTTTCCTCATACAGTCACTACTTCTACGATTAGTATTGCCATTATTCCTTTCCAGGAATTTCTATATGATTTTGATAAGCATCATCATATTTAGTGTTATCAGCAAAGACACAAGCTCAAAAGTGACATCTTTTCCATGAATCCAGGAAAGAAGAAAAATCCACTCAGTTCAGATAAATCCTAGCAATTCCCAAAGGGAAAGGCACTGGATACGTACTTGATGAGAAAGAAAATGAAAAAAGAGGGGGAAAAACTCTTCTACCTGCTTCTCAAAACCAGGACCTTGCTCAGATTAAACCCAAAGCAAAATGCTGACAAGTAACGAATTTACAGCATGTTTTCCCACAGATTATTGGGAAATAATTATTGCTGTTAAGTGTGCAGGGTCTGGGCTAAATGCCTCTAAAATGTGCAATTCAACTTTCCACTTCAGAGTGTTAGGGCTTCTCCCAAGTTTGTGGCTGGGCAGAGGGAAATGGGGTCCCGTTACTGAACACCAAGCAGTGTCCACGGCTGCACCTCCCTGGTGCTCTCTTCCACCTGTAAAGCCCTCAGCAGACCTTCCCCACTACCAATCCCCGCCCCAGGGCTCTTAGGAAGCTTGCAGCATTCTGTTTTCCCAGACCTGGGCTCTGGTCTGACCTCACAGCCTGGATCAGGCTGGTCAACGGTGGCAAAATCCCGAAGGGGGTTGGAGGAGGCAGACAAGAAGAAGCAAACATGCTAAATAGTCTCTCCTGCAAAAGAACACTTCTGGGAACCTTGTTTTAAATCTTATTCTCCTTTCTCTCTCTCTCTCAAAAAAATGACTGTTTAACATAAGAAAAAAAATAAGGCCTCCTTGACACAAAGCTTTTGTTATCCAGTTGATCAGCAAGCAATGTGCTTTAGATACTTGTAAGAGGGGGGAGAGCCCCACAACAGACATTGATTTTAGAAAATCAATAACCAACATTTAATAAAAGGAACAGAGGAAACACAAGAGAGAAAAGGGGGACATTAGGTGTAATTTTAGTGTCTACTAAATTACCCAGAGATGGGGAAGGGGAGGTCTCCAGTGTAAGGACCACCTTAAATAATGCCAGACACTAGAGTGAAGAAAAAATTAAATTAAGAGAGAGGAAGAGACAGGGAGAAAGAGACTTAAAAAGAGGCAGCCTGAACTGGGTCTTGGGGAAGCAGCTTGGTATATATTATTGTACTTGTTTTTTTGTAATACTAAGCCAAGCAAATAGATCAAAGGCAGCACAAAGGGAAAAGGCAGGATAACATAACGAACAGTTTCTGACTAAAATTCCTCTATCACTCCCCCATACGGCTCGACACCTCCACCACAACAAGCAACACACACACACACACACACACGCACACACGCACACACGCGCGCACACACGAAACCTAGAGAGACAGAGACAGAGAAGCATCATTTGTCTCTAATCAAAATTCCCTCTTTGTGTTTTCTCCTTCCAGCGCCCCTCACTGCGCCCCCAGCCGCCCCCTCCCGCGCCGCGCAGCTCGGGGGCAGGCCGGGGGCGCACGATCGTCTTCTCGGGAGGAAAGTTGTTCCAAGTGGGCCCCGGCGGTCCCCGCGAGGCGCGGGCTGGGTTCGCGGGAGACCCGAGGCCGGGGCCGGCGCCGCGTCCCTGCGTCCAGCTTGGAAGCGTCGACGCGGCCCCGCGCCGGGTGATCGGGCTGAGACCGAGGGGAGCGAGAAGTTTCCTTTCCCAGTCTGAGCTGGCGCTAGTTCGCTTGTTTGTTTTGGGGGGTTGGTTTTTCTTTTTTCAACTCAGTATCCTCCGTCAGCTACCCCCCGGCACCCTCTCCGGTCCCCAGCTCTCTCCCCTCCCCCAGGCGCCTTCTGCGCTCTTGCCAATCACTTTTCTCTTTTATTCCCACGATTTTGTTTGGGGGTAATACCTAGGGGGTCTGCCTCTCGCGCGCGCTCTCTTCCTCTCTCCCCGGCTCTCACTCTCTACCTCCCTTGACTCTAAGATGGACCTACGGAGCTGTCACACCTTTGATCCCCACGCTCTGCGTGTGCCCCTCGCACCCCCATCTCCTTCCTCTTTCTGGACTCCGCCTGGATAACGGACTCCTCCTGACCGTGTCCAAACTGCCCAGAAAAAAGTCTCCCCGCGCTCCGGGACTCCGCCAGCCCCCGGCGTGGGGCCAGAGCCCGCTGGAGAGGAACCACCCGCCCCCGCGCCCGCACGGACCCCGCGCGGGGCCGGCCGAGACCCTCCCACCCCGGGGGCCCAGCGCGCCTGGCCCGCCGGGCCCCGCTGCCCGCGGACCGTTACTTGGCGTGCGGAGAGGCGGCCGGGCGACTCCGGCAAGAAACTTTCAGCCTGGCGGAGCCACAGCCCCGGGGCCCCTCTCCCGCCCTCGCAGTCCCTCTGCCACCCCCGCCCCCACCCCGCGATCCTGCGCGACCCGGCGCCCAGGCCCCCCGCCCTGCCCTCGCCGGACGCTCCCGCAGCCCGGCCGGGGAGCCGGCGGGCCGGGCGCTCACGGAGCGGGAGGCGGAGGGAGGGCGGAGGCGGGGGCGCCGGGGGCGGCAGAGGTGGGGGCGCTGGGCCCCGGCCGGACCCCGGCGCTCGGAGCCCCCCGGCGCCCGCCGCTCACTTTGCCCGGCACTTCCCCCAACTCCCCACTGTCCAGTCGCCGCGCGCGCCGGGCTCCGGCGCCGGCCGCGGAGGGAGGCTCGCCCGCGAGCCCTGGGCGCCGCCGCCACCGCCGCCTCGGTTCCTTTTCCCTCTCCCCCTCCTTCTCCCCGGGTCTGGAGCCGCAGAGTGGCCCGGAAAAGTTTGGTTCGGGCCGCTTCTTACCGTTTTTCCTCCTGGGATTGGCTTGTTTGCGTCTCTTGCACCGGGGGCCATCCGCCATGATCGGCTGCTTCATTGATAAGAGCGGATCAGATGGCAGTTCGCATGGACTCGGCGCCCTGCTTCGGCAGCACGCAGGCTCGATCTAGCAACCAAACACAGCGACAATGTGGGCATCGCCCGCGCCCATTGAAACGCGCGCGGGCCGCCCAGGGGAGCCGGGCCAGGGCCCGGGCGAGCACCCATCCGCGCCCCCCAACGCCAAAGCGAAACTTCGGCGGCCCCCTCCCCGCCCCCCGCCCCCAGCCTTGGCCCCGAGGCGCTTTGTGTTTGTTACTGTTTGGTGTGTTGCACCCGCGAGGGGATCAGAGAGACAAGAATTACATCTTCAAAATGAGTCATAACTCCTGACCGTATGAGGGAATGCACACGGCGGTACAGTAAGACTGCTTGACTGAGGGCTAGGCGGACCCTTTCCTCCGAAAAGTCCTCAGCCCGGCTCGGCAACTTGGGGTGAGGCGAAGCTTGCTTTAGCTCTCATCTTGTTTCACCGCCCCCCACCCCATTCCCCAGAGGAAGCAAGCAAACAAACAAACAAACAACGCGAAACAACCCCCGGTGAAGCACACTCGGGCAAATTGATAATAGTAATTATAGGAAGCCCACTCGCCCCGCGTCCCATCCCCTCCCCTTTCGGAGTTGATCGAGACACTGTCTTTTCCTCCCCCCCCCACACCCCCGCCCCCAAATTAGGATTTCCCGTTTCACGCCGCAATAAGAAATATAATTATAAGCCTCTTTGGACACTGTCCCTCCCTCCCCCCCCCCCACCCCGCCGCCACCTTCTCCACTTTGACAATATTTACTTAAGTATTTCCCCCCACCTCACTCACACACATGCTCCCCCACACTGGTTCCCTTAAATAGTTCCAGTAGAAAATTGTTTTTTCCCCTCAAGAAAGGAAAGAGAAAGTCCAACCGCTACGACAATACTTTTCAGCCCTACTGAATGATCGTATCCTTTCTGGCTTCGAAACTTTTGTACCTAAAAATCGAGAGAGGCGCTGCATTTTTTCAGCTGAAACTGTCAAAACTTGGAGAAGGGGAACCTCGGAGGCAGGCAGGAGAGGAGGAGAATCCCGAAACTCGATGGAGGTTGGGAAGATGCTGTGCCTCGAGGATTAGTTTAAACAGGGGGCTATAAAAGATGTAACAGATGCAAACTGTAACACAAGGGCCATTAACCCTTTCTCTGCCGAGTACACTCGGTCCCCACGCCCCGCACCTATTGTCTCCTGTGCTAGAAGCTTTGCGGAAAACCTGGAAAGTGAGTATCAGTTTCCACACATTTGCTGAGAGGGGTAAGGGCGGGGGGGGGGTTTGCAGAGAGAAGGGGAAGTAAATGATTTAGAAAGCACCTTGAATTTAACCTAGGCATAGTGGCAGCCTTTTAAGTTTGACACATTTTGTCATGTCTTGGCTCTCCTGTGGATTTGAAATTGTTGGGAAAAATCCTGAAATACAGAAATGGACACACAAGTGTCTGGGATGAAACAGCTGGGCTGTCTGTATTCCTGCTGAGACTTACGCACGATTGCATATAAATACATGTTTAATAAAGTAAGCTGCTAGTTTTATGAGCATGTGTGTGTGAGGGACAGACAGGGCATTTGTGCTGTAAACTTTATCTTTGCCTGTTATTTCTAACTCTGGAGTTAGTAATCTTACCTTCATCATTATAGGGGGAGCATGTAAAATATGTAAGTAGGTGGGAGACACACATTCATGTTAACCGGGATCACCCCTGTTCCTGGGAACTCCTGCTATCTCCACTTTTCAGTGCCAAAGTATGGAATGGGATATTTGAGTGTATCTTCTGTCTCTATATGACTTTGCCACTGGAAATACAATTTCAAAAGTTATCCTTAATTTAAAACCCTAACATCCTGACGGCAGTTTTCTTCCCAGCTGTAGTGAGCCCCCCCCCCTTTGGTAAACGACTCAAGTTCCATGAGGACTTTCACTTCTTTATTTATCATCACAGAAGTGAGGTGTTACTTCACATACATACACACACAAAGAATGAAATAAAGAAATGAAACTCGCTAAGCAGACAAAAACAGGCAACTTTCTACTTAGAAAACAGCCTTCTTCGGTGGGAAAGGTTGGACTGCCATATCTAAGAGAAAGACTTGCTCCCGAATTTGGTAGGTTTGTGTCCATCAAGTTTTGTAATTATTAACAGGTATTTGCCAAGTTTTAATTGCTGAATACAATGAATTGGAACTAGACGTGAAAATAGAGCAAAATCTCTCCCCTTGAAGAGTTTTTATTCCAACCATACAGTTCTCAATAAAACTTTTCCAAGGCTGGGTAGTAAAAGGCACCTTTGGTTACCTGAATGGACAGGTACAGGGCAAATTATTTGGGGGAGGAAAAAAAGGGGAGAAAAAGAAGGAGAGAGACAGAGGGAGTGCGAGAAAAATCGAAGAAGTCACTCTTGGGAAAAGCTTGCCATAAAGGAGCTAAACCCACCTGAAATTCCTACCCACAGACACTCCTTCTCACTTTAGACTCACATCCCCACTTAAAAGGAGAAAATCATAAAAGGAAGGTGGGGGGGGGGGTGACCATGCCAAAAAGGAATAAAAAGAGAGAAAAGGGGGAAAAAAAAACCTACCTGCGAAGTCTTGTTTGTAGTTTTGGCCAGAAATGGTGAGAAGAAAAAGCATGAAGAAGCCGCGAAGTGTGGGGGAGAAAAAGGTGGAAGCGAAGAAACAGCTCCCGGAGCAAACTGTACAAAACCTCGCCAAGAGTGTCTGGAGGCAGGACCGTTATTCCTGCGGAGCAGGTTAGAACTGATCTCTTTCGGCCACTCCAGGAAACACAAACCTGGGGACGGACTGACGTGTTACGCCTCTTCTAATGACATTTTTTTCTTTTTCTTTTCTGTAGGAGAGAGAGAGACCCTGAAACACGCGCCACCTATCTTTGTGGGGAGGGATAATTGAAGCGCCCTGAGCGTGAGCATCATGTGAAAACGTGATCGCCAAGTTTCTCTCTGGGAAAGGATCTGGGATAGATTATACCTTGAAGTCTCCGCAAACGCTTTAGTGGAAGAAATGAAATTCCACCTCCCTCCCTTCCTCTCTCCCTCCCTCTCGCCTCCCTCCCTCCCTCTCTTCTCCACGCCCCCCCCCCCCCCCCCCCGTCAAGCCTTTGGCATCTTTATCCTCATCACTAAATCCTACAGAGTACAGGGCGGAAAACGGTGCACACCATTCACAGAACTGGAGAACTCTAAGGGGCGAAAGTTAAAGGGAAAGATCCCGGTTCCTCAATCCACATCGCCTCTTCTTATACAGATATCTCTAATAACCAGATTTGAGATGCACATTAAGTTGTGTGGATTTCTCAGCACGGTTTCTGGAACTAAATTTTTTGCCCTTTCTCGTATTATTATTATTATTATTATTATTTTCTTTCAAGATGCCAGAGCCAGAGGGGGGAAAATTGCTGCATGTGAGCTGCATTTTAGGGCATGTGTGTTGGGGTGTGTGTATGTGATGAATTTCTGGATTGGATCCCAATACTAAAAAGTGGTTTGGCAATTTTAAAAAGGGTCTCTAAGTAAATTAGCATAGAGCGCTGAGTTGACCGATCTCTGAATCTCTCTACATCTCAAGGAGACCTCACTACAAAGTGAGGGAGTGTGTGGAGGGAGGCAGGAGGAAAAGGAGAAAGGCCATAGAGGAATTTAGCAGGGAAGGAAGAGCACGATATTAAACGGCATGGGGTCTAAGTTTTGGAGTATATATTTTTTGATATTGCAATTAAAGTAAAATTAAAAAGAAAAGACTCCACCTTTGCTCTGAAGGGATTGGTTATGTAAATATGGAAGGGATTTCCTGGAGAATACAGCTTTCTACTGTATGGTTAATTAAATAATCACTCAAAAGCTTCCAACGTGACGCTTCTGTCGTAATCCAATCAGGTTACATAGGTCCTAAACAAGAAAGATATTTTCCACATCTGGAAGTCAGCAATTTAGCAAGTACTGCACATTATTAACCAATTCAGAGCCTACTTCCCAGGGGAATTTTTTTTGAAGTTTAAGTGTTCTTAACCAATGCTCTGCTGTTTTGTTAATCAAAAAGCTGGTTTACACTGCACATAATTGGAACTAATATAGAAGTAAATAAAGACAGCCAAATTTGAGGATGCTGAGCACAGGCATTTATCGGAAAAGGAAGAAATCTCTCAGCCTCCAGTGGTTCAGGCTCAAGTTCTTAAAGAACTGTGAGGCTTTTTTTTTTTTTTTTTTTAAGAGTGAAAGTGCTTGAGAACCTCAGAGCACAAATAAACTTTCAGTCCCACAGTCTTGGACTTCTTTGCAAAGGTAAAGGTGGAGGTGTCAAGAGGACTGAAGGACAGTCTCATGCCATTTTTTTTTTCTGCTTTAATATTGTTAATATGTTACAGCCCCCAGTTTTCAGTCTGATGAAATCTGAAACAACACCCTGATCCAACACTAGACTTTTACTCACATTAAGATAAACTGCTTTGAACTGTACTTTGAATGTGTGCCTAAAGCAAGACTTTGAATGCAAGAGTCACTGGCAATTGCACTCAAGAGGAGGGAAAAGCCACCACTTGGTTTGCCACATCCACACTCCCAGAGGTGCGCAGCTTTGTATTTTGTATGTTTATTGGGGAGGGGGCAATAGCCACCCAGCATGACCACAACCAATACTTACTTTAGGATGTGAGGAAGTACATTTTCACAGTTGATTACAGACTCACCTCTTTGCTACCTTAAGCATTTATTACAATGAGAATCATCTCCCCCACCCCACTCAGATAATTTACTTATAGAGGAGCATTCTGAGATCACCAGCTTAAAATTTAATAATAAAAAAAGAAAATTAAAGATTTCCACCATGGGTCAGGCACATTCTCAGTTTTATGCTTTATATTTCTTTAATATTCCTATCTCTATAAATATATGACTTATCAAGTTTCTCCTCTGAGATTTACTTCTATTATTAATATCCTTTTTAAAAATTCCCACTTTCCCCCACTTTTTTATTTAAAAAAAAAATCGAGTCTAGCTTTCTGTAGAAGTTTGCTTTTCAGCGTTTCCTCTCCCATTTCCAGGACAAAGGTGTTCCTGGCATGGAGTAATTCCAGGTAAGACTCCACCTGAGGACCCCAGGGAGCCACTGGAGCTTACAGCCCAGACGTACAGTCAGTGGTAAACCTCAGGTCAAAGGATCCAATCAAATGGCTAACAAATCACTTGTCTTTATTATGTATATTAATGTCAGGTTACTTAAGATCTGACTTAAAAAAAAAAAGACAAGTATTTCCATTAAAAAGAGCTAATCATCTGATTACTCTGGGTTCAGTAATTGTTCGAGTGGCAGGAGACAGCCCCAACACTTAGCACTGGTAGTTCCGACGTGCAAGTATTTGAATTGGTGTTAAAAAAGAAAAAGCAATCTTTCAGGTTCCCATCAAGGTGGATATTTGGCCGGTGGCACGCGAAGCGTCCCCACGAGGGGTGAGCGCGCTGGTGGGTTGCCCTCCTCCTCCGCCTGGCACGCCCCCGACACTCCCCTCCCCATTTGACCAAGAGAGTTCCCACAACAGCAGAGGCGGTGGGATCGGAGGAAGCCGGGATATAAATATGTTCCGAACACTCCCTTAGTCCGAAGGCCAGGTCGGGGACAATGGGGATCGTGGGATCAGCGGGATGCTGGAGCGCAGGACGCAGGGAAAAGTCGAGAGAGGACTAGGAGCTACTAGCTTTCGGCTCCTCACACACAGCAAAGCAAGTCCTGCAGATGAATTGCTCCTTCCCGGGCTTTCTTCCCCATTAATAATCTATTTCGAGATTAGCGCAGACCAAGGGGATTAAAACAACAGATACATGCAAATGTGAAATAATATTGCAATGCAATGGACATGGACGAGAGAAAAATAATGCTTTAAGATTTCTTTGAGTAAAACAAACTGCCTCCCTCAGAATTCCCTCCACCCAGGCAGCGTGTGAAGATGCACTTTTGTTTTCCAATTCCCTCCAGCCAGGACCTGGTGCCTGTCCCCCCATTCACCTCTCAGTCTGTCAGTTTCCTTACTCTCACAAGCAGCTCCCCTTTTCTCCCCTGCCCCCAGGTCCCCTTGTCGGCCCAGATGCCCGAAGAGATACAGTGTTTCTGCCCCTGAACACACACGCTGTAGCAGGAATTCGAATTTGGCCATAGCTAATGATTTTTTTTTTTTAAAGCAAATTCTGTTTATTTTGTACCATGTGGAGAAAAAAAAAAGGAACCTATTCTCTTTTTGAAACGGAATTGATCTTTCATCCAGAGGAATTATTTCGACCGTGCTGTTACACAGGAGGTGGGCAACTTCTTTTAGAGTTGCAAGGAAAGGGTGATAAGGGGGACCCCTGCAATCGGGGTGTGTTGAGGGGGTGGGGGGCGGTAGGGGTCCAAGCCAAGTCAAACGCTTTTCTCACGTGCGAACTCGCAATCCAATCCATTCGGAGTTGAGCCTAGGATAGGAGGGGAAAGTCTATTAAAAAAAAAAAAAAATCAGGAGCATCTCTCTGAGAAGCCCTTTCAAACAAAATCAAAACAGGACCAGAGAATCTCAGACCGTCTCTAACATCCCTGCTGCGAGGCCCGCGGGCTCTGGAATCTCGCACGTCACCTGGCCCCAGCAGGGCGGCCAGCTGAGCGGTTCATTTTATTTTTTTATTTTTTGAAGTTAAGGCTGAATCTCGGCTTCAGAGCTTTTTTTTTTTTTGCCAGCGTCTCCACTGACAGGAACCAGCAAACTTCAGGACTCAAATAAGCGTCTTAATTTATTGATGCAAAACAGGTCTGCTGGTCGCCCCCAGTTCTCCGCGCGCTCTGTCCCCCACGCCCCCAGCTTCGGTCCCTTCATTTGATCTCAGGGTAAGGCCCCCGCAGTACAGGCGGAGGAGCACGTGGGAGGGGGGTTCTGCCCCCGCCCGCCCGGGAACCCCGCGACCCCCGCCCCGCGGCCGGGTCAGCTGACCTGGCTCGCTGGCCCGCTCCCCGCCCGCCGCCTTGTTTCCGGTCCCCGGGGTCCGCTAGCTGCGCGCGGAGCGGGAGCGGCCGCGGCCGGGAGGTGATGCTGGGGGCTGATTACCATGAGAAAGCCTGTGCCTGGAAAAGCCTCCTCCACGCGACTGTCAATCTCACCAAGGGGTGGGAGGGGGGACGGAAAGGGCCCTGTAGGAGTCACCAGAAAACTTGGAGTAAGTTGGATGCGACGCAGGCCCGAGGAGGTGGCTTTCGCCTCAACTTGGAAGGCTGTGGCGTTAAGGGCGCGGACGCCAGCAGCCTCGCCTGGGAATTGAAAAACCCCGAATCCTTTCTTCCCTTCTTTCCTCCCTCTTGCCATCCTTTCAGCCCTCCCTGCCCTTTATCCTTGTTTTCTTGAAATTCTTTCCCAATTGCATTTCCTACAGGATCCTATCTGTCTCCCTTTTGCAATCCCTTGTTTTGTTTCTTAAGATCTCCTCTCTCGCTCTGATTCTTTTCTGCCTCCTTTATGTGTCCAGATTTATCATTTCGTTTTGAAAACACAGTTTCATATGTAATTAATCTACCAGCAGGAGGTCAGGGACACCCTGACTAAAATAACTCCCTGGGTCATCACAGAACAAGTTCCCCAGGTGTCAGTGAAAAGTAAAATAATAATAGTAATAAAATAAATATAAATCTATATCTCGGTAATCATAATGTCTCCTTATCCTGAATTACCATATCAGCTCAAATTGACTTCTTTTTTTCTTAAAAGATAGAATCTTCCTGGAAGAAAAATGAATAATACTTGATATAGGGAAATTCTTTAGCTTTAAAGCAATGTGAAAAAAATTTCTCATTTATGGTGGTATTTTAGCAATGCTTAACAGACTTTAGAAATTACAATAGGTAACTTAAAGAAACTTAAGCTGTGCTTTTTCTTTTAATGACTGTTTGGAAAGTGTAAAAAATTTCTAAAGCACCCCTGCCTTTCAGGAATATTGATCAGTTCAGAGAAAAACATCATGTCCTGTATTTTGTAGAGGCTAAGCAAATTCACAACTTCAGTTATTGGGTTGTTTTCTTGGCCAGTTGCCCTATTGCCTAGCAAGTGAGTTAACATGGAGCTGTGTATGTCATGAATGTGGCTCTGGTTTTAGTTTTACTTATTTTTTTTTCTGTCTTTCATTCATTTTGAGTATGTTGTTCTTCTATTAAAATTCAGAGTTTGCACTTGTTTGCAATTTGTTTACTTTGTTGGATTTTTAAAACTTGTTAGTAGTCAATTGAACATGTATATTAAATCCTTTTTAGGCCAAGAAAAATAAAGATGCATTAGAAAGATGCCTTTTATGCTTCATAATTATTAATTGACATTTTATGATGAATAATTAATCATTTGAATAATTTTGGTATCTCTGATCTGAACACATATTTGCATATCTAATGCTTGGTTTTAACTGTGTTTTTAAAAAAATTCATTCTCTCAGGACGAAGAAACAAAATAACATTTTAATGTAAAATTTCTCTTCAACACTTGTAAAAGTTTATTTATTGAGGTGTACTATTCTTTCTAGATATCCATAAAACTTCTTAACACTTTGTAAATCATTTATGTAGCAATCATATACAAACATGTGACAGACTGCAATTAATTAAGAAAAACAATACCCTATGTAAAATCAAGTCACTCTCCTCCCCAAAGGAAGAGATGTGCACTAATTATGCACCATTTTTTCTTACTGGAATTTGGTTATTGAACTTTTTGGTTGTGTCTATTTACACAAGTCAGAAAGTAGAAATTGAGGTAATTGATAAATAATTCATACACAAATTTAAGATATTTTTTATTTTTACTTAATAACATATGGGTTGATCTCAAATTATTTTAGAATGATCAAGCAAGCCTATCCCTGATATTTTTATACCCTGTGTCAGTTGAAGTTCAAAGAAGCCATTTTGAGTACTAACCCTGCAGGTTAAACTGTGTGATTACTGGCAAGCTACTAGAAATGTATATTCTTGTGGGTACACTAATAATGTCTGTTCTTCTGAGTTTTAATAAGAATTAAAGTATTGTCTGAAATGTCACTATAGTGTAACTTTATTATCATAATGAAAAGATTGAAAAAATAACATGGAACATATAGATCAATTGAAGACAATTTTGACTGGTAAAAACAACTATTTCCCTTTTAGTATCATTCATCATTTTTCTGTTGAGAAATGAGTGCTGTGTTATTAAAGTGAAGAAATAAGATGAAAAGCATCATCGGGTTTTGGGGTGGTTTACAGTTCTTTAGACCTCTTCAGAGAATGTAAACCCACCGATATGAAAATAGTATTTTTTATTCTGTTACTTAAGGAGTTAATTTATTGTATTCAGTATGATCATAATTTGTTTATAAATATCAGATTTCTTTTAGTCCGAATGTATGAACTTGAAGTTTCTCATGTTCTTTAGTAACATATTCTCTCTGACTGTAAGGGTTAAATATGTAGACGCTCAGAAGCAGTCTTGAGTAAGACTTCTGAGAAAAAAAAGGGCAAACTTACAAATTTGGAGACCAGGAATTTGGCTGTCAGAGCACTGTTTGTTGTAAGATCATTCATAATGAACTGAGCATTTCCTTTTCGAATTGTAGTTATCCTGAGGTTTGTGCTAATTCTAAATATCTATAGTGGGAGAGAAAATCAGTTTACTAATGGAAAATGAAATTCATTAGTCTCTTAAACAAAGAATAGACCAGATTTTCTTTTTGACGCATAAGCTGAAAAATCAATGTAAATGCTAAAGGGAAAAAACTACTGCGATATTTAATCCTAATACTGACTTCTTGTTTTCCTTAAGATTCCCCCAAACACTTAAAGGGTCCCTTAATTGTTTCCTTTCTCAAAGGAGCCATTCCATGCTTCTTTCACATCAAAACTACCAAAAGGGCCATTTGGACATCAGCCTAGGGACTTAGAGTGACCAGTACCTTTTTCTTTTTTCCTTTGTAAAGGAAAATGGGGCCAGAAACTATTTGCACCTACAGATTGTTTAGTGACCTGGAAATAACTTCATGATGCTTTGTGATCTTCTTTAATAATCCTTGTTCTATTAAAAGGTCAAATTATAAGTCTTGTTTGTTAGTTCTAATTTTGCACTGTTCTAAAAGTGATTTATTATTATTTTTTTTGCAGTCATATTTCAGGTACTTAAATACAACAACCTTACTCTGAAAAATTATTCCCTATGTGATAATCACAACTATGAAATAATAATAGCCAAGAGAGGAACCTGCTTTTCTAGCCTACCCTTTTCTAGTTGTAGATGTGACCTAGGGGAAATCAGTGACTTTCTCTAGAATTCAAGTGTCTGATTCTTCATGGGCCTTTAAATCTGCCAGACTCATCCTTTTGACAGACACCACAGACAGGTGACATCCAATGTCTTCTCACCTTTAGCAGATGTCCTTCTGAGCCTCTCGTGTCCACCCACTCTGCATATTGCATTGTGACCTCTTCCAGACCTCCTAATGACTTGCTTAGTGCTTGCTTTTCCATGTGTGGCTTATTTTGCCATTTGGATCTAACACCTAGGCTCATTTATGCAGTTGCAGGATTGGTGCAGGTAGAATGGTTTCTCTGGCTTTGTTGTCTCTGGTTTCCCAGACAAAGTATCTTTCCTATTTCTGTCTTCTCACCAGGACCCTTGAGTTAGGGATGCTCCTGTGAACAGTTTCCTGCTAGTTCACACTGGTCCCAGGCCTGGCCCAAGCATAGGACAAGCTAGTGATGAAGGAGAGATCATGATACAAGCACATCTGGGAATTGTTTTTATTTCTTATGTAATTTTTGAATTGCTTGTTGACTGAGAACTGAATCTCAAAGATTCCTTGTATTCTCCTTAATTACAGCATATTGTAGTGGCAAAGATATAGGCTTTGAAATTAGATCAACTGGATTTGACTCCCTGCTTTGTGAGTACTAATTGTGTATTGAGGATGAGATATTAAGCCCCTGTGAACCTCATTTTTAAAATGAGCAGAAGAGGACTTAAATTTAAGCTGGCTGTGGTGAAAAAATATGACAATAAATGGACAGTGTCTGATACAGGGTAAGCATATAAATAAATAGAAATTCCCTCTCATGAATTATCTGAAAAATAAATGAAGTTAAATTATAGAAAAACCAGAGTGAATGTAACATATATTTTAGGTGATACTTATTTCATAATTTTAAATGATTTGATTGCCATTTATTTAATTATTTTAATTACTTTATGATTTTATTAGGAACTGTTTAACTGGTTCCTGCGTGTTACAGAAATCAGTGTTTACTGAGAACAATTGGAGAAGTAACGTGGAATTTCTCAACTTCTAGCGGAAAAGGTGGAGTGCTCGTGATTCTAAGCATCACAGTTCTAACCTCTGAGATGAATAAATGCCCTTTACCATTTGATTATGCATTTCACACTTCTGTTTACAATTGTAAGAACAAATATTTTTTCCATGTAATTCTCCCTATATGAGCTGACATGAGAGGAAGCCCTCTTGCAGCTTCGTGTGGCCAAGAAATGTCAAAAATCACTCATTCAAGGTAAAAAGCAGTTCTCAGTACTGTTCAAAGCTCTGTACTCACTCTTAACGCAGACTTCTCAAGTTTGAAGGAACTAGGAAGGGAGTAGAAGGGAAGGAATAGTACTGAGAAAGTTTGCCTCCAGTATCTTCTTCCCACCCCCTTGCTGAGTGCTGAAACATCTGCTAATAAAAAGAAAAAAATAAGAATACATATATCTATATATATGTATGTATATCTAAAGACATTGCTTCACTCTGCTGCCTGCAAATTCAGGAGTAGGGTTGTGTCAGCAGGCCCTGGCAGGATCTATTGTGTATGTGACTTTTCTACCCTATGCCCTAGAAAGGAGAGTGTCAGGGGAGGACCGGGCTGTGGACATAGGGAGCATATTGTTCCAATGGTTCTGCTACAGTGCAAAGCAGTCTTCTTTTTTTTCCTCTTTGGAACTAACTTTGCTACACAGGCAAAAAAAATCTATTCCTATTAGGTTTTTCCTTGGCCATTGTGGAACCATAAGTATGGCTCCTGTGGCAAGGGGATAATTTTTCTGGACTGAGGGAAGCTGGCTTACCTATTGTTCTTGGCACATGGCTAGCACCCTTCTAGACAAGAGGACAGAGCAAAGCTGAAAGTTCACAGAAAATACTAGGCCTTTTAAAACAAGGACAAAAAGTTAAAACCTTGTCCTTCTAAAGTTTACTTGATGTATCTGCTGTGCATTTGAGATTTCATTTTAAAAAAATCTGCATGATCCTGAGTTATATTATTACCTACCATCATTTAGCCTGTATATGAGATATTGAAAAATTA